TATCAAGGCACTACTCACACACAACTTTCTTGCTTCATTTATATACATGAGTAAAAATTGATGATTAGACATTTGAATAAAACCAATATAAGATAAAGTATATTCCTAAATAATAATGTGAGTGTTATCAATCAAATACAATCAGATAGGAAATAAGACGCGTGTTTTTATAGTAAACATAAGCAACTTGCTAGAATGTTTTGATGTGCTTGAATTGAAATAGAATTTTGAGAATATTAATTATCCTCCTCTGATTTGACTGACTGGTGATAATAATATCTTCTATATCTCTGGTATTTGCATTGAGTCACTTCTGTTGCATGTTTTGGAAGTAGGTAGACTCGATGAACCAGTCAGGATTCAGTAATCAACGTATCTCTTTCTCCGCCTACCTATGTTACTTCTTAGAATTTGGACTCTGTCCTTCCCACTCTACTGTGTGTTTGTGTGTCAATGCATGCAGTGCGATTACTGAGCTTCTTTCTAAATTACTTATCTTCGTGGGATCGATCATTCTAACCTTAGCTAAATTCTTACCTTCTGATAATCTCACTACTCTTGATCTACTAGGTTGACCTTATTAGAAAACGGATGTCCATCTAGGTTTATTGACAGAAACATGACAGAAGAGTCTCTGTTGCTGAAGGTTGTAACTGTTCTTAAGAAAACTGTCCTAATGTGCCTGGAGTTCAAAGGTGCCATCGAGGCAGAGATCCTTACAAACTGCTTTTCTAAATGTCTGAAGAAGACATTCCAAGCAGCCATCTTATAAATCACATTGCCTAACAGATACTTAGCCCAGTCATGAGTTAAGGAAAATATACCACTTCTGGCCACCTCAGTGTTTATTCCTGTGGGGCAAAGTATACCATCCGTACACAATGTCAAGTTCACAAACTTATTTTGTAACACTGTCTAGGGTGGACAGCCAGCCAGTAGTTCTATCCTTGAGACACAGTACTAAACAAAGTTTCTCAACATCGCACGAAAGGACTTCCAATACACCATCTATGCATAGCCGAACCACTCACTGGCTATTTGGAACCTGAAACTGGACCTCTCTGCATTCAGAAGGACTACATAAATTCATTCGCTTTACCGTGGCCAGAGTAACTTTCCTAACAGAATTTTATTTCATTTCATTGTTTATCATAACTATGCTTATTTTAGAATCACTGTTATTGTTTATTAATAACATTACATTCCTTTTTACATGGTTTTATCATCAATACCTTACCGTCGTTCCATTAGATTTTGTACATTCTTGCATTGATTAGTCACTTTCTCACGCTTATTATTCCATCTCCACTCAGTTATCTCCTTCTAGACTGTACCTCGCATTACGTAATATATGCTCTAGAACACTGAGTTATCAGCAGATCTAATTGGTTGGCTTTTGTTTTGATTGGACACTAGGTATTAAGTAACCAGTTTCATAGCCATACTACAGATCATCATTGAACAGAGCTTGCAATGGTAATCACCTCTCTATCTCAACTTCATCGACTTTGAGAAGGCCTTCTACAACGTCGATCGAGAGGTGATTTGGCAAACTACTTCGCTACTACAAAGGTGTGCCGCTGACAATTATACATCTCATCCAACAGCTGTACGACAATGCTGCATGCCAAGTAGTCCATAACGGGAAACTTACGGAATCCTTCGAAGTGAGGACAGGAGTAAGACAAGCTGGCTGGCTGCCTACTATCGCCAATGATTCTCCTGATTGCAGTAGACTGGATGATGCGACAAACAGCGGGCAATGAGGAAACAGGCATAAAATGGACTCACACAAAAAAACTTGGAGGATCTGAACTTCGCCGATGATATATGTCTGATTTCCCACAAACTGGAAGATATGCAAGTGAAAAGCAATAAGTTGGCAGAAGAAGCATCAAAGATAGGACTCCAAGTAAACTTAGAGAAAACAGAAGTGATGAATATTCCTGGGCAACAGCAACAACAACAAAAACAACAGAAAACAATCAGCATAAATGGGAGGAACCTGAAAGAAACAACCTACCTGGGAAGCATCGTTTCAACTACAGGCGAACGGAACTGACGAGGATTTCAAAGCAGCGAGCATCATCGGGAAAGCAAGGCAAGCTTTCATTACTCTCAAGTCTGTGTAAGGTCAACAGCACTCCTCAGCATCAAAAATAAGATCCGGATTTTCAACTCCAATGTGAAGTCAGTGCTACTCACTATACTTACAGATCAGAAACTTGGCGCGTCATAAAGAGCATCTCAAACAAACTACAGACCTTCATCAACAGCTGTCTTCGCTCAGTGCTACTCATGATCAGATGGCCGGTCAGAAAAGATCAGCAACAGGGAAGGATCTCTGGGAGCGAACCAACACAGCAGGAACCGATTGTGAAACAAATAGGCAGGAAGAAATGGAGATAGATTGACCATACTCTGAGGAAACCATCAAGTGACATCACTAGACAAGCCATAGCTCGAGTGGAACCCGAAAGGGAATCGGCGAGTTGGTCGTCAGTGCAAGGGTGACTTGGAGGAGGACATGTGAAGAGGAGATGAAAGCATGTGGGCAGACTTGGAGCCAGGTGAAAAAGTTGGCAGAGAACCGAACGCAATGGAGACGTGCAGCTAAAGCCCAACGTTTCTCTAGGAATTAAAGGAAATAATAATAATAACCAGTTTCATGAGTCCAGTCCATGGTATTAGTTGGTGCAGACTGAATTCTGTCAGTCAAGCCTCTGTCTGTCTGCCTGTATTCGACATAGAACTTTGCACATATGCGCGGCAGTTCAAGTCGCCACACTCTCTCTATGTAGCACACAAAGCAAGAAAAGAAAGTAGAAGAAATGCATAATATAGACAGTAAACAGAGGTGAGAGACAAAGGAATAACGAAGAAGAAAACAGTTTCATTGGAAATCATAAGTCACAAGGAGTGGATGCATCTGCGCCATTGAAAACGATTTTGAGCCATATGACCAGTTGTCTCCAGCCATTGGTTTTTACCGTCCCGAGGACCCCAACCAGGAAGTCTACACTTCCCTACGTGGCTGGATTAAACTAACTGTTGTGGATTTCATTGACTGATGACGCTATGTTTTGGTTTGACCGCCACTACCTCTTTTCCAACCTGACCCTATGTCAGCAAACATTGGTCTTCGGTCGAGGAAGGCGATGACTAGGCATACGTAACACATGTCCTAATCATCTCAGTAGATGTAATTTCACAGCCTCGTCTATTGATTTCCCCTCGTTACCTAGCACTCGGCCGACGCCTAACCTTAATATTGCTCACCCTATTACACCACTTCACACGGGAGACAGAACGCAGGCACCTATGATCAAAGACAGCTAGTCTTTTCATAACCTCCACTCTCAATGGCCAGGTCTCCCTCACAGCCATAAAGAAGGACGGAGCGGAATGCTGAGCAGTAAACCCGGCCTTTGGTCGATAGCCAGATAACACGTCTACGCCAGAGACGGCGTAAACTGACATATTCGAAACTAGCCCTCTGTATCCGTGCTGAGATTTCGTCAGAGATCAACCCGTTGGCGCTGGCTGATGCTACTTCCCAAATAAGTGAAGTGCTCTACCAATTCACTTCCTATTACTAAGCTAGGAGTCAGTGTAATCCAGTCCTGTAACATCCTCTTACATTTGGCAAGAGCGAATCGCATGCCAAACATTCGTAGATTGCTGCTCAAGGTGTTCAGAAGACTCTGCATTTTGTCAGCGTCCTCATGTGCATATTCTAAGTCAACCAGATTATTCCCTGATGGTAACAAGTCAATCCCTGAGTCTCTGAAGTGAGTTAGGGTTAAGTACATTAGTACATCTATGACGAAATTGAATATAAATGGGGATAATGGGCATCCCTGTCGGACACCACTAGTTGTCACCACTTCAGATGACAACCCGCCGTAAGTCCTCACCTGGTTGACTGCATGACTTCGAGTAGAGTGCCTTGATCAGTGCAATGTATTTCCTCGGAATTCCTCTTACAGCCAAGCATCACCAGAGTACCTCTCGGTCGACAGAATCGAATGCCGCTTTTAGGTCAAGAAATATAATGATTGTTGGACGCCGGTAACAATACCTATGTTCTAGAATCTGTCGAAAGATGAAGATATGATCAATACACCCTCTTCCTGGTCTAAAACCTGCCTGGTTCTCTCGTGTTTGTGCCTCCCAAGCACCACTTAGTCTACGCATGATTATTGAGCCTACGACTTCAGATACTATATTAGTCAAGCTAATCCCTCTGTGATTATCACAGGAAGACTTGTCTCCCTTCTTGTATATGGGGATAATCAGTGACTTACACCAACCCGATGGGACTTCCTCTGATTCCCAGACGCTACCTAGTACCTCAGTTAATGCAGACAGTAAACTGTCTCGACCTTACTTAAATACCTCTGGAGTCATTCCATTAGGTTCCGCTGCTTTGCCTTGTTTCAGACTAGTGACAGCTTTAGTAACCTCAGTTAGGGACGGAGGACCTAAGTTTACATTGTGGCCACCATGCTAGATGGCTCACCATCACGGTGTACTCTGAGTTGTTGAGCTTCTCGGTATTCATCAGTCAGCAAGGCGTATCTGCAACTAACCTGAAGGAACTCATATCCCTTCTGAGATTCGGACCCGTGTCACTCAGCGCCACCAGCAGTCTCATAGATGTTACCACTGAAAGCTATTCGAGCTCGTTATTGATCTCCTGTAGTAGGACTGTATTGAAGTACTTTTATTAAGTACTCGGTAGTAACTAATGACATGTATCTAGTTGCTTCCTTCGGTGTAGAAGACACATAAGTTCTTCCAAAGGTAACTGTAGATACGCCCCTACTGACGAGTGATAACAAGGACGAAACCCTGGGTCCAAGGCTAGGTAGGCTTCCTGGGACTGATTACCCCCCTCAAAGCGTCTAACAACAACGAATTGGTTTTATAAATTGTTTATTAAATATAATAAATACTGTATTGTACAACAACTCTTACTTCAATATGTATTAACAAATTATCGGAAAAACCACACACACACACACACACAGCAAAAAACTTTCACAACATTTTTAACCATATAACACAATTCATGTCCGTGTTTGTTTGCTAGATGTGTGTATGCGTGTGTCACATTCACACATTGTGATCAGATTATGCCACTCCCCACGCACACATACAGACACACAATGTATTCTATAGATTAACCCTCTATTTTCTCAACATTTGTCAATACAACATTCTGATGATGAGGAGTAGGGGGAGGATGACTGTTCGCATCCCCTGGAAACATTGGTGATAATGGCCGAGTCTCTGGAGTAGAATTCGATTCACCCTGATGATTGATATTTGAATGTTGAGCAGACGAATTAGGCTTGGTAATTGAAGTAGCAGTAGCGGTAGGAGTACTCGTCCGACTAGCAGTGACAGGAGTAGCTGATGGATTTATTGAAGGAACAGATGTTGAAGTATTCATCGCCGAATGATTTACTTCATTTGATGATGGCACAGTTAATGAAGATGACAGTGAAGTAGAGACAGAGGTATTACTACAGCCAGTGCTGTTGGTACTACTCACAACACTATTAGTAGTAGTAGCATTGCTAGGCGGAGTAGTAGGAGTAGGTGTTGTTGTTGTTGGCAAAGAAAGTTGTGGTGATGAAAACAAGCTAGAGATTTGTTCAACTTTCATTTTTTTAAATAAATTCATTTGTAATAGCCATGCTTGTTTTTGTAAACGTAATATATCCATGCGTAATTCATGTTCTTGTTTTAATTGTGAATACAGTTCTTTTTGAATATCCTGATTAAATGTTGTGTAGAGGGAATCATGATGATTTGATGCAGGTAGACCGAAATTAAGAAATGATTGATTGAATGGTGAAAAGGAGGAGAGAAAGGATTCATTCACTGATCCAGTGATATTGCCAACTACTTCTGATGAACTACAAACATTCATGAGAGAGAGAGAGAGAAAAACACACGTATACAAGAAAAGACATGTAAGTAAATTCTTATAGAATATTACAATAAAGCAATTTAACTAACTGGCTGAATATCTATCTATCTATCAAAGGATACTTTCTAGAAATCGATAAATTCACAGACAAGGGGACCAACTATTCCACGCCAGTTACATACACACACATGCGCACAGTTTCTTTGGAGTTATATATTCTTATGAAGACCTTCATAAGAATATATATATATATGGACTTTGAGAAGGCCTTCGACAGCGTTGACCGCGAAGTAATTTGGAAACTACTCGAGTACTACGGCGTACCCCAAATATTCATCAACCTTATTCAACAGCTGTACGACAACGGCACATGTCAAGTGATCCACAACGGAAAACTCAGAGAGGCGTTTGCAGTAAACACAGGAGTCAGACAAGGGTGCTTATTATCACCAATGATATTCCCAATTGTGGTGGACTGGATTATGCGTCAGACAGTGGGAAACGAGAAGACAGGGATATCCTGGACCGACGTGAAGAATCTAGAAGACCTGGATTTCGCGCATGGATGATTTATGTTTGATGTCACACAAAATCGAAGACTTACAAGCGAAAACCGACAAACTGGTCGAAGAAGCAGCCAGAGAAGACAGGACTCCAGGTGGACATAGACAAGACGGAGGTTATGAAAATAACCAACCAACCAACAACAACAACAGCAACATCCAGCGCCAATCACCATCAACGGGAGGGACTTGAAAGAGGTTACTTCTTTCACTTATCTAGGGAGCATGTCTCAACTACAGGAGGAACGGGCCAATGATGTCAAATCGAGAATCGGGAAGGCGAGAAACACATTCATCAACCTGAAACCAACCTGGGAATCTTCGTCACTCAGCATCAACAACAAAATTCGGATTTTCAATACAAACGTCAAGTCAGTCAGTTCTTCTATACGGATCAGAAACTTGGCGGCTCACAAAGAATGAATATTTCCAACACATTGCAGGCCTTTATCAACAACTGTCTTCGCTCTATACTGAAGATCAGATGGCCGGAAAGAACAAGAACCAACAAGAAACTATGGGAACAAACAAAGCAAGAACCAATCGCCCAACAAATATGCAGGAGAAAGTGGAGATGGATTGGACACTCGCTGAGGAGGCCACTGGGTGACATCGCGCGTCAGGCCAGTGCTCGAGTGGAACCCGAAAGGGAAGCGGCGAGTGGTTCTTCGGTGCAAAGGTGACATTGAGGAGATCGTGTGAAGAGGAGCTGAAACAGTATGGATTAAGATGGACGCAGGTGAAAAGTACAGCAGAAGATAGAAGCAAGTGTAGACGTGCAGTTGAAGCCCTATGTTCCACTAGGAACAATAATATAATAATAGTAATGAAGACCTTAATATGGGTTACTGATTGTCGAAAGAGAAATCGGGAGTTGAACTCTTCCCTCTTAACAACACCTCTCGAAAACACCCACTCCTCTCCGTCTCGTGGACAGTGCTGTTACATTCTCGTTCACCAGAAGTACGACATCGTATTCAAATTCCTAGCATAGTGTGATTGTAACTCTATATTAGATAAGTTTGTTTAAAAATATCAAACAGTGATGCGGTATTAATAACTGGATGATACCGTTTTGAGCACAAGTTATTGCCACTCATAATCATATCAATTTATTCACACGGCTTCACAATTTGCCTTATATATATATATATATATCGAAACTTCAAATTGTTCTAGCGCGAAGTTCCACTCAGATCGCAAAGGAAATAACAAATAAATAAATAATAATTTTTTTCAACTTACTCTCCATGATTTTGACTTTTATTATTAATATTATTACTATTTCCTGTCGTCATGTCAACATCTTTATCTTCTGTTGAAGTATTTAAATGTTGTTGCTTATCGCCACCACCACCTGCACCTGGTCCTCCGCTACCTGATCCAGCATTGTTGAATGAATTCAAATCATTTGTATCATGATTGATAAAAGAATGTTGCCCATTTATACTGTTATTATTACTACTACTACAAGCATTAGTAGTATTAGTAGTAGTATTGTTATTACTATTACTACTACTATTATTATTGTTATTACTATTAATCATACTTTCTTGTCGTAGACAGGAATCAAGAATAGCCGACTTTTCAGAAGACAGCATAAGCGATGAATGTTGATTATTGGAGAAAATAGAACTATTATTATTATGATTACTATTACTATATGGATCTGAGAATGAGGTATTCGATAATCCATAAATATGTGAATTTGTTTGATTGAAGGCATTTATACCACCACCACCATTCATAGCTGTAGTAGCAATACCTGATGTTGTCAAAGCAGATCCCGATGCCGACGCTGACGATGCTTGTAGATCTCCAAGACTTAAAAGAGATGGTCCAATTGATGATAAATATCTTAGACGGACAGGTGGACTGTGTTGTGTAAGAAATTGCATAACAGCAGCATTTGTCTCATTCCAATCTAATTCTGGCGTGATATGACCAGCGCGGACTTTACGTTTTGTTTTAGAAACGAGATTTTCCCATTTTTTCTTTACCTGAGGTGAAAGAAAAAGAATGAATGGAGTAAAGACTATCTCGATTGAAGAGATATCAATCAAGACACTTAGGAGTACACACCTTCACCGTTTATCATCCATCAACCAATGAAGTGTGTTGAAATCCTGAAGACATGTACCTGTGGGACACGGCCATTAAAATTCAAAAGTATGAAAAGGCTAGCTGCCTTTAACCATACATGTTTGAGTTCTATTTCCCGTGTTAAGTGGTCATAATATGCTCAGTATTGTTAACGTTTGAGTTGAAAAAAGAAAGAGTTAGGAGGGGTCAAATCAAAATCTGACAGCCATCAATGAAGTCTTCGACTTTTGACAGGAGCCAACCACTTTTGTAGTTCACCACCTTCTTATAAGGATTCAACACTGGAAATTTTTTTTGATCCTTCATGTTCCCCAGTGGAACATAAGGCTTCAAGCTAGAGGCCTGAAGCTTCCGTAGCAGTGTACATTTTACAGGATGGGGTTGCTAGCCTCATGCCCAACCTTTCCTCTTTACCAGCATTATTTCTGGCTTCTTGAGGTAAAGGAGTGCGTTAGCCAGGGTTCGAACCCCGGAGCATGTGCATGGTCGGCGAGCGTCCTAACCGCTATCCCACCAAACCAATTCTTACGAAGTCAGATGTTAGGAGTTAATCAACAGAAATTTTATATCTCTCACCACTAATGTTAAGACTCATATTCCATAGAAAATTCGAATATTCACTATTTTAATCCTTAGACAAACTTAATTGTAGACTGCTCTTCAGCCATGCAGGTGATTCCTGTTCCATTCCCAGTAGATGCACTACTCAAACTTCAGTCATCCAGTAATAATCCTCGAAAAAATAGAAGGCTGGTCATGAGACTACCGACCCTAACCCGTAAATACAACACCACTACAACTGAGATTTCAATTTTTGAAACAAAAGAATGAAAATATCTTATTATTGAATGCTTTTAGTTTATACTACTTCCTTTCATTTAAGTAGCATAAATTGTATCTTCGTATTTTTTCAATATGTATTGTATAATAAATTAGTGGATGGTGACTAGCAAAGGAATCCAGGATAGCATGCAGTTCTTCCCATTTGTGACTCGTCCACTGGATGCATCTGCATTCCCCAGCCAATGAGTGATGGTGTTACCTCACTGACGCTCGAACCCGATCACCTTAATTTCAAACACCAAAGTGTTATCCACTAGACCCCTTAGGCGACGAGAGCTAGTCCCCTCTTGTGCAACGAGCGTCTGAAACTGTAGGTACTGGGTTCGAGCCTCAGTGGGAACACCATCACGCACTGACTGGGGAGTGCAGATGCATTCAGATGACGAGTCCCGAGTAGGACGAAATACGCGTTATCATGGATTCCACTGTTAGTCACCATCGAGTTAAATAACCAGACATCGTCGAAGTATCTGCACGAGGAGCCGACATATCAACTTGAGGCCAAATTGAATTAAATAATTCCTTGGTAATGGTTTGCTGCTATTTTTAGTAAGTAATTCACGATATGATCATTCTTACATGTTCTAGTTTACACATGTTACCAGTAGGCTTTCATTCTTAGCAACTTCACACTTGTCAAGTATACGGACACTCAACCACCTTGCTTCTCATCTAATAACACTCTTCGTGTTATCAAACGTCAACTTCTATTGTGTCACTTAACTGTTACATAATCTTTCTTTTGTCTTTAGAAAGCACTTCTGTGTAATTGTATCGATTATCCATTATATCCCATTTAAATCAATAATAAACCAACTACTTCAATAGAACACTTAAGAAAAACAACTGTATTCCAATTAAAATCCCAATCAATAACGCTCTTGTGAATAGATGTCCTCTCTAATGATAGATTAACGGAGAAATTCCACGGAAAACAACAGATAATACTTTTTTTTTAAAAACTGTGAAGTATGCCTGAATATCTAGGGAAATACTTACAAGGACCCCGCTGGTAAGACAATAGTTGTTCATGGGCGATTGGATCCGGTCCCAGTGGCCTAATGGTTCATAAGTTCACCTTGTAACCGGAAGGTCATGGGTAAAAACCCTGGCGGTGTGTATGTGTGTACTGCTTAAGAGCCCCGAACTAGGACGAAACAGCCATCTGTCCAGAGAACTGACAGGTTTTTCAATGGTTCTCTAACTGGTTGTCAACTTGTGATCATACCTGTAACCGATCACATCCCTGCAAACCAACATTTTCATTGTTATTAAGTAATTCCATATTAGTTTGTTTATTCGATCTATCACACAGCGAATGAAACAGTATTATTTACTGGATGACGACACCTTTCGAACACAACTTATTGTTCATAATCATTTCGTCAATTGTAACCACACGACTTAGAAACTTCAGTTTTATAGTTCTCTTTGTTCTCTCCAATTTGTCGTCGTAGGAGTAGTAGAATTTTCCAGATGTTCGGGTGGACAGGGGTTGAATCATTCCTGTTACATGTATTTGCACTTGATTCGATAAACCAAGCTTGTTATCAATCCCTCCCTTCCATTCACCCTGCTACAATAGATTTCGAGACTGTCATCTTATTCCATCCTATTGTATGGTTGTGTGTAATTGCATGCAGTGAGTGGTATAGCTGAACTATTCTCCAGATTCCTTATCTCATTCGGCTCAACCAATCTAGATTTTGATAGGTTTTTATACTCGGCTAGTCTGACTGACTGCCCCTGTTCTACTAGTTTGACCTGTGTATTTGACCTGACAATCATTGCAGACAGGGTATTAGATAAACTAAATTGTTTTGTTTTAAAGGCTCCACAGCAGGATCCTTTAACCGACAAAGCTTGTTTCTGATTCAGTTTGTAGGCAACTTGAATGCCACTTTTATTCCTGCCTTGTTAAAAATTCTGCGTAGGGTTTCCGTGGTTCCTTCCTTGTGTGGAATTACCACTGATGATTTAGATTACTTATTGTTCGTGTTGTCTTGCGTATGTTTGATCTGCATGTCGTCATTAATATTACTATTGTTATTGTGATAACGGTAGTAGTGATAGTGATAACAATAATAATGTGACAGTTTTAAAATCTTCACATAATCTTCTCCATATCACTCTCGAAAAGCTAGCTCATCTCCTTCCCATCCTAGGTGGCTTCAACATTCTTAGCCGTTGCTGTCTGTAGACAAAACGATGCTTCCAAGGTAAGTGCAAGAGATGAGTTTCTTTACATTTCTTCCTACTGATAATGATTGGTATTTTTTTTGGGTTTCTTTTGGTGGCTGGCTATCTCTTCATCACCTCTGTCTTCTCTATGTCCGTGGGGAGTTTAATCTTCACTGCCTACCTTTTTCTGTTAATTAATTTCTTGTTTTTCGTGGGAAGTGAGAAGACAGGCATGTATTGGACTGATAAAAAAACATCCTCCCTCTCCCATAAACATCTGGATTTTGTGAATTCTTCATGCCTGAGATCACACAAACTCAAACATCTTTAGGCGAAAAGCAACCACTTCTCAGATGAGGTAGGCAGAGAGTGAAGGATTTCAAGTGAACATAGAGAAGACAGAGGTGATAAAGATACCCACCGTCCACCACCAACAACAACGCCAATCACTATTAACGGAGGCAGCTTGAAAGAGGTTACCTCTTTCACAGAGGAAGCTGTCAAAGCCAGTCGGGATCGGGAAGGCAACGGTACACCTTCATCAATCGGACATCAGTGTGGAAATTCGTCTGCACTCAGCCAGCATAAAGAACAAAATTCAGATTTTCAACACCAATGTTTAGTCGGTCAGTCCTTTTGAATGGGTCAGAAACTTCACCAGCGCATCCAACAGGCTAGTGCAGACTATTATGAATAGCTGCCTTCACTCAGTATTGAAGATCACATGGCTAGTCGGAAAGAATTAGCAGCAAGAACTTCTTGAAACAAAACAATCAAAAATCAACTCTTCAATAAATATTCTGAAGAAAATGGAGATGGATTCGACACACACTGAGGAGACACTGTTGGGTGATTACGCGTGCCAGGCTATTGAGTGGAACCCAAGTAGGAAACGACGAGTTGGGCGTTCGAGGATGAATATGGAAGAGACCATGTGGGGAGGAGAAAATGAAAACTTATGGACCATTATGGAACCAGATAGAAAGGACAGCAGAAAACGGAGTGAAATAACAATTTACTGTTGAAGCCTTATATTCTAATCGGAACTGAAGGGAATACTAAGAATAATGGTCTTTCTTGAACTACCCGCCTGACACATGACCTTAAACTTGAGTCAATGAGAAAACGCAAAGTAATACTTAGGTAAATCTAATAGAAGCAAAAGTATTAAGCCTTTTCCAAGATGTACAATTGATTAGTAACGTTTAATTGGTGAATGGTGACTAGCAGTGGAATCCAGGATAACGCGCATTTCGTCCTATTTGGGACTCGTCAGCTAACTGGAGGTACCTGCATTCCCCAGTGAATGGTGATGTTCCCACCGAGGCTCAAACCCATTGGCCATAATTTCAAACGCCAAAGCGTTATCCACTAGACCACTTGGTCATGAAAGCTAGCCACCTCTTGTACAACGGGCCGTATTAACTTTTTGATTCGATTTTAGATTTTCTCGTCGATTGATTGGACCGAAGGTACATCCAGATGACGAGTCCCAAATAGGACGAAATGCGTGTTATCCTGGATTCCACTGCTAGTCACGATCCACCAATTAAATCCTAATTACATGCCCACACGTCTTCGAAGCATCTGCACAAGAAGCCGACATGTCAACCTGAGAACGATAACTTCGGTCCAATCAATCGACGGGAAAATCTAAAATTCAATTAGATTAGTAACGTTGTTTAAATTAATTTTTCGATGGGTATAATCCCCTGGTAACAGGACTTTTCACTAATTTGTTCGTAATAAGCACAAGTGTGAGTAACGAAGATAAAGACCACTTCAAAATATAATTCTTTTATCCCTAACTTAAAGTCATAATCCCAATTCCTGCGTAACCTTAATCCTACTTACGTATTGCTCATTAAAATCA